TTCCCCTCTACTTTGTAACTACTTTTACTATACTATCTAACCTTTTGTGACTGCTTGTTCCACCTCCAAAGTTGGTAATTCATTCCATGGCTCAAACTCAAAAGCACAGCTGTTTTTCAACTGTCTGCCAGGGTCTAGAATGCTTCTGACCAAGGCCTGGAACCTCTAAAAATGTCTGAGAGACATTTTGTTCCCACAATTCCCCACCTTGAAAGTTATCAGCAAATTACAAAAAAAAAAAAAAATAGCTGATCTGAAGTATTTATTTGATAGAAGACCATTTTAACCCTCAATTATCCTGATTAAAGATGTTAGATATCTTTAGTGTTTGACACTTGCCTTTTTATAATCAGCAATACGAATACAAGAACTGTTCTGTTCATTCCATCTTTAACTATGCAAACAAAACCAAAATATTTATCCAAATTTATCCAAATATCCAAAAATCATCCTATTTATAAAAAGAAAAAAATCTGGATGAACCATTCTCCGAGAAGTAGCTAAGCAAATTTTCTTATTCTCTCTCACTTTGAAATCATTTGTTGAGTTTCACTTAACTATGCTTACTTTCTTGAGGGAGTACAATGGCTCTCAAAATGTTTTCCCAAGACTACAGTTTAATGATACAAAGCACTTGGCAGCAATACTCCAGCTATAATTGTTCTTGACTACTCAATCCCCAGTAGTGGTACATAATACCTCTCAGTTTGAGGATTTGATCTGGTTTTAAAAGCCTGCAAAAATGCAGGGGCTGGTAGAGAGGCAAAAACAAATGGCCAGATGTGGGAGAGTGGGAAAGAGAACACTTGGGACTTAGTGAAACTGATTTCTTTACTTAGAAAATCTGTGCAACCATTCATCTGTAACAATATGAAAAGAATTTCTTAGGGCATTTAGGAACATCCGAAAGTGTGTTTTTTGAATAGTGAATGTCAGATCTAATTCACACAGGAGAGACTATCAGTTGTGGGAATGAGCATTCAAATGTATCATTCAACATTTACTGTACAGGAATATTGGTCTCTTTAGGTGTGACACTTTATTTCTCTATTGGTAGAGGTTAGCACTATTTTTGGCTGTAATAGAATATTAACTATTGTTTTGGAGGTATCTCCAAATCACTGCCTGTGATTTGACTGAAGTATTAAAGCAGGGACAAAGTTTCTTGGGCATGTGGCTCTCACTGTTAACAAAATTGGAAAGTACAGCTCAGCACAGCAACAGCTCATTGATGTGTATTGTGGGAAGCTCATGTTGCTTCTGTGAAGTCTTGAAAAAAAAAATAAACACAAAACAAAGCTCTTACATGTTTCATTCAAAGAAAAGGGATTTTTTACCATTGTCCTTCACAGTCCATTACCACTTACATATTCTGTGGGGTCAATTTTTCATGTATTTTGAACAGGTATTGTAATTAATTGGACAACAGAGTTAGAAGGAACACTGAGTACTAAGCTGTCCAAGACAGACAAGAAGATGTTACCTTTATGAAGACTGAATTCAGCAATTTGAATTTTTGGCTGGAGGACTGTTGTACAATTCCCATTACTGCTTTGACTAATCTGCGTAACATAAACAGGTCCTTTAGAACATCAGCTGAGCTCAGATTTTTTTCTTCTCATGGAGAACTTACCCAATGCTAACCCTCTGGAACCACTTGAGTTCTGAAGGTTCACCAAAAAAGCTGAAACTTTCAAAGGCATAATGCCTCAGGCAGAACTGTAGGAGCAAGAAGCAGGAGGAAATGTATTTTCATGGTATAAGACATAGTAAGAAAGAACAGTCTAGGAGAAAATCCTGGTCCTGTCTCATCCACAGAAAACATGAGTCTTTGTCATGTATGGACACATGACAATACACGGAGTGTCAATAGATGTGTATTCCTCCAGGAATTCTGTCTCATCAAGAAAAAAGGCCAGCAGAAGGGCAAAAAATTAAGAGTATAAAAGTGCACTTTGTGTTTATACATTAATGGCTGGATGGTGGAAGTTCATTGTGTGGCTACTGCAAGGGACAGAAGGAAGGAAGAAACTGTGGTTTGAGCCATATGCAATGCAGGTGAAATTCTGGTTCTTTTTTATTCACGTTGTTTTTGTCACCTAAGTGAGATGTAGTGATCTGAATACTTTCAAGTTAATTTCATGCTGCCTGAGAAGAAGATCCCATTATGTTTAAAAGCACCTTTTTATCTGGTAAACCAAATATGAGTTGAGCTTGACTGTAATTGGGCCTTAATTAGGCTTTTTATACTAATTTTGTAGTAATGTATTTCACATAGAAGTTTGAGAAGAGGGGTTTAATGGGTGGGCAGGCATAAAGACAAAATGTCTGTTTTTCTGTTACTTTCAAGTAATTTTAGGAACTATAAAACTACTTCTGCTAGAAGTCAGTATTTTACTTCTGCTGTAGCTCAGGTATGAAGTTATGTAGCAAGAGCAGTTTCTACTAAAAGATTCTGAGAAGGGCAAAGCACACAGAAGACTGGACAATTCTAAATCTTCTAGAATAAATTTAAAAAGGAAAGATAAAAAAAGATGTGTTTGGAAAGGACTAAGATCTATGATCTGCAGTCTTGAAGAAAAATGTCCAATCTAAGCAAAAAGCTTGGTTTTTCAGCCTTTGCTGTCTGAGACCATAAAAGCATGAGGATTCAGGTGCAAAAGGAATTGCATCCAAGAATTGCAAAGAGAAGCAGATTACCAGGGGCAAAAGGAACTGTATCTGAAAAGTGCAAGGGAAAGTTACTAGTAAAACTTCCTCTAGTCCAAGTGAAATTTAGAATTCAATATAAAGTAACACTTCCTGTAAAAGTACTAATGGGAAACATAATATACAGCTTTTCTTGGCTGACAGAGCAGAAAAGAAACTTAGAGGACTTATTCCTGTTTTTTCCTTAAAGGCTAATCTGGAGAAGAAAGGGATAAATGTTGAATATATTGACTGAGGTATCTTGTAACCTGTGAATACAGCTCAATGTACAGAACAATATGCCTTTTTTCACTTATCTTGCACAAAAAGTTTAATATTTGGTCTCTTATTTCCTTAGTAAGGGTGACTGTTACAGCCTTAAAAGTTTCCGAATGAAATCATATATTGGGTCTCTGTATCCTGTGGTCATCAGCTACGAGCCACTACTCATGTTGGGCTCTGACTGCTTTGTCCTGATGCAATTGGATTATAGCACCAGGTGGGAGGATCAGATTTCTCTGGAGAAAGAATGAACTACTCTAATGCACCAGGACAGTGGAGGGCTGAGCACAACAAATAAGTAGCTGTCCTTTGAAGCTTTTTTTCTTCCAATGATTAAAGTCCCTGCTTAAGTGCTTATGCTATAGTTATAATGAAAGCCACTAGCTTTAAAAAATTTCCTAATTTCTTCCTTCCTTACCCTGCCACAAAGACACTTGATTTTTCAATATCCTATTTTAGAAAGGAAAATTTTAACAATAAGGTATAATTGGAGCTATGTTATGCTGTTTAGAAAATAACTAAAACATATTCTGGATTAAAACAATACTGGTAAATATGCTGCTTAATTATTGAATAAAAATTAGAATAGAATAGAATAGAAATTATTGAATATAAATTAGAGGGGTCCTGCTGTTTTTCTGTCTTCTTGAAGGATTCTCAATGATCTGTGAGGGATTTTGCCTTCCTCTGAAACAATTACCACCAAATTTACAGTAAATTCAATCTGCTCAAGACATCATTAGTTGCAAGGAGTAAATTAAAGTCCAGATCTGTTGTAAGGAGAAAAGCCAAATTCAGTCCTCTGAGTACTTTATTAATTGTCTAATGAAAAAACATTGAAGTTGGGTTTTTTTTTTCCCCTGGAGAGCTGCATGTCAAGAATGCAACTATGCATAGACTGGAATAGCACTTGAAGCCTTCTACTATTAGAGGCATAGACTCGTCTACCATACTACATATTACTTACCAAACTTACCATATTACATTACATATTACATATATGACCATACTACAGTATTCCCTGGAACACCCAGAAAGAAAAATATGCCTACACATCATATTGTTCCCCCTCCCCCTCTTTCTGCCAACAGAGCAGAAAAAGGTGATACTACTGCAGCAACATACACGGAGGTTATACTGTTGTAATTATAACTGAGCTTACTTGCAACAGACTCCCACTAATGACTATAAAATTGAGGCATGCATTAGATTAATGTCTGCCAAATCATGAGGGAAAAACTGAACATCAGCTGGTGCTGCTTTACCCTTTACACAGAGAGGGGAAGAATAATCTACAGTATCTTTACTACTCCACACAGGCAGCACTAACCCAACCATGGCAATGCACAGGGGAGTACATTGTTTGAACCTTTAAGAGTGATAACAGTTAAAGCAGGAAAGAAAATTACAAGGTCGCATCCTAGTCTGATAGCTCATCTACATACTGTTGATTTGATATTCCTTATTCCCAGCTTTCAACTGATACATGATCAGTTTCAACAACAGGAAACTTCCTACATGGAAGTAATTTTGCAATTAAGTAAAAACCTATAGAACTTCCCCAGTAATTTTCCCCAGGCAGCTCTGTCTCTTACATACCTGTAACACTTCTAGCCTAGCTAAATTGTTTTGGTGACAGCAATACAATAGCCTCTTCAAATGATGTATAATTTGTGGATTTATTATGCAATTATAAAGTAACAAGATTAATTAGATTTAAGCTTGTGTTTTAAAGTAATATATTTCATCAGTCAATTTTTACTCCATGTAACCACTTCTGTTGAAGTCAGTTGCATTACTAATGAAGACTTTCAGTAAAAATGCATATACAGGTAACTCAGTCTTTAGATTTTCACTGAATCTGACATATTGCATACACAGATCTGCCATTTTATTTATACATTTTTCAACACAGAATCAACAGTTTATTAAAGGCTGCAAACATTTTTCAACACAGAATCAACAGTTTATTAAAGGCTGCAAACACTACCCACAGTGTGTGAAGTGGGTATCAGCCATAGCATTTTGAATTTTAGCATAATAAAACATTTATTCCTCAGTGGGTTTTTGAATATGAAAATCCTATTTGCTCTGAAAAATAATTCCTGCAAAAAGCCACACAACCCAGGTCCTGAAAAACATTCATGACTATAAATTACATACATTACTGGAAGAATATTAATACAGTAGGCCAGCAATTATTTTCAATGCCTCTTAAAAATTGTACCAAAAAATATACATCTTCCGTAAAATCAAAAAATAAAATATCTGAAAATGTTCTGTGGTAAATCTAGAAAAGGGGGAGGGATTCAGTATTAAAAGTTAAATTCTCCTTTCATATACACAATTTAAACTGATACCAATGCACAGTAGTTGTACAGCTGACAGAAGGATTTGACTGTCTGCAAGATTAAAATACAACAGCTATGAAAAGTATGCAAACTGTTTATTTCACAAGTTTCACTTTGTCCTTTAGAACTCTAAATTTGGGATTGTTATTCACTTTCTTATTGAATATGACTAGGATCTCCTCTTCTTTTTTGTGATGTTCACCAGCTACTGCATAATATTGAGCTATCACCTGCACAAAGACAGAGAAATGGTTTTTAGTCCATGAAGATGATTCCATTGTAAGCAATAAGTTTACATTACTGCATGAAAAGTGGCATGGAAGCTATTGTACTATTATTCCTTTTCAGAACCAGCACTGAATTTCTTGTGTAATTCAGTAAGCACCATAAAACCTGTCCTTCAGCTGACATTCTGTTAATTGATATTCCATTAAAAAATGTTGAACTTTCTTTGTTTATGCCAGCCATAATTTTCTGAGCTTCAGCATTACACAAATAAATTCACAAGACCAAAGGAGATTAAAAAAACATGCTGTACAGTACCTTTTTTCTTAGTTTCTTAATTGAAATTTCATTGTCTGGAGCCTGTTTCAAAACTGCTTTGATGGTTCCCTTCCAGTTGAATTTACCTAGAAAATAATTAGGTGTACAAGATTTTAGCAAAAGGAGGTATTCTGGGTTTTCTTCTCTACTAGTAACCAGCCATCAATCTCCTTATTTTGGAATCAGTTTGGCCACCACAACAGTTGTTACCTTACTGACCCTACAGCAGGAAGGTGTCAAGCATAAAGTCACCAGCTGTTCCTGAATATAAGATGGAACAGAGATGAAGAATCAACACAGTACTTGAACAACAGGGGTCAGAATTGTTTTTACTTAACTTCTGCACTTCAGATATTAAGAAGAAACTCTTAAATAACACAGGAATAGTTAAGATCCTGTCTTTCACACTTAAATCACACAGTCAAATTTGACCATCCCACCTTCAGAGGTGATTAACTGGTGGTTTCCAAATACATGATCTGTATGTTCAAACACAGTCAGAGCACAAGGTGCTAGGCAGAAGCAGGTTAATCTAAGTATAAACTAAGGTCCAATGTATCTGAAGTCAAATTTATGATTCAGTGAGCAAAAATGGGGATATGACATACACCAAGAGGTCTAAGAGTTGTTACCCTTTTTGTTGTGTTGTTTAATGTGCATGGCAGCAGGAAAGAGACCCACTGTGGTGAAACCTCAGTGTCCACTGGAAATAAGCAAAGCCAAAGGCTGCCAGTACAGCACAAACAACAAATCAGAGAAGTAATTAGTTATCAGGTGTTAAGAGTAGCAGAGGCTATTTACTCTGGAACAAATGTGTATACACACATATACATACATTTATGTATACTGAGGCACAATTTATTTCATGGCTTGCTACAGAAGCAGTATTTGTATCACGCATTAGGTCTTTTCCAGAGTAGTTTGTAACAATCTAAACTGTTCCTTTAACAATACCTTTCTCTGTTCCCACATTTTCTTCACTGTCATTGATGTTTTCTGTTTCCATGTCTTCCGAAATACTTTCAGTTTTCATTCTCTTTGTTTTAGTATGAGGCTCCTCTAGAGATGGAATTGGACAAAACATACACAAGAAAGATTTAAAACTAGAAATTCTGACATGACCTAAGCTTTTGTTCTTGTAACATGAGTTTATATTTGCAAAGTGGTTCAGATTTTATAAAAGAAATGTGCAATCATTGTTAAAAAGAATCTAATTTGTATATCTAATGCACTACTTTAAAATTCTGCTTAGGTAGTTTATTGAGCTTTGGAACTGAGAAAAAGGATCTTCAAAACAAACATGAATATAAGTTGTATGATGGATACCTTCTATATGTTTATGTTTGCGTTTCTTTACGTTTCTTTCCCCTTCTCTTTCACAGTGATTGCCATTTCCATTTATTTCAAATTCATCCTCTACGCTCTCTTTTCCTTTTTTGGACTTTTTACTCTTTTTTACTTCTTCCTGGTTTTCCAATTTCAGATCTTTTTTCTCCTTCTTTTTGTTCTTTTGCCTCTCTTCTTTTCGTTCCCTCTTACTCTTTTTTCTCTCAGTTTTTGCATCTGTAATTCCATTTTCTTCTGCGTTTGTATTTTCCCCAGTTTCTGCAGACTGCTGTTCTTCCTTCTGTTGTGGTTTGTCTTGTTCTTTTTCATTTGAAATCTTTTGTCAAAAGAAAGACAATTACAGTTTTTACGTGTGTTTTTTGACATTGCAGCTTTTCTCTACTAGATCATTGGTAACTGTTGAGAACACTGATATCCTGAAATCAATTAAATTGCTCACATGTGATGTCACCAGTTACCTAAGAAGCAGCATTACTGAAATAATGTGCCTGATTCTTCTTTTAACTTAACAGACTAAATGCTAATTACCATCACAGAAGAAATGTTATCTTACAACATAAGTAATTCCTAGTTGAAGTGTCTATAGTGTTTTAAATTATTTGTTAAATGTAACTAAGGAAATGACAGCTCTTTAATTTACACAAACAAAACTACAGCATGTTACAGCAAGATGCAGAACTGATTCCCAAATACACAGCCCTTGAGTAATAATCTCTTCTGCCATCCACTTCCGTGTCTTAGATGTGTCTGGGACAACAAACTGTTATGACAACTGTTATAACTGTTATGATGCTCAAAAAGGCACTCCTGCTTGTTTTAACTGTACTTTTCTCAACATATTTGGTTTTCTTTTAATGCTCCCGGGCTTATAATGATTTTCTCATAGAATACTCAATGCATTAATGAAAAATGTAATGTTCAATTTAAACTTTAATTTTAATAATTACAAGTGGAATACAATTACTGAAATGTCAGTGTAGCTATTTAGAAAGAGAACAGATCTTTATACAAGCAATTTAACATCAATATGTTTTTATAAAGAGTTATTTTAATTAAATTTGAATTCTACTTAAGAATTTCCACTGAGTATATACATTTCAGGGTATGCATTACAAATCATATCTTAAAATCTTTTTCGGATTCTTAAAGGTGAATTGAAAGGCTGTGCTATATATTTTATTTTAATGCTATGCACTGCGGACAGTGTAATTGTTTCCATTTGTGTTTAAGTAAAAGGTTTTCAGATTGAAGACATTCTTAAAAATTAGTTTAAGTCAACTGAAAACTGCTTATGACTTTAGTGAAGTTGTATAAACTCAGTATTAATTCTCCAGCAAAACAGTGTACTTCAGTGTCCAGAATTTCTGTTATGTTCTTCTCCTTTATTAAACAAGTTTCTTTCTTTCCTGGCTCTTACATTTGGATTCTTCAGAAAAACTGCAAATAAATTTAACTGGAATCATCAAATCAGAAACACAAAAAATCATCGACAGGGGATTAATGCCAAAGCTTTGCCTACACTCTTCCTCAAAGAATTTGGGGGAAAGGGGAGAGAGCATCTTTATATCAGCTGAGAAATCAGCTCCTCCAACAGCTTTTGCGTGGCAGCAATAGATGCAAACAAACAACACCCTACCAAAACACACTGAGCTAGTAATGAAATACCAAAGAATTAGGCACTGACAAAAGGTCAGAGTGAGTCCACAATTTGGACAAAGAAATGGGAGGAACTTGTGCCACAACCTGGAGGATCTCTCTCCCCACTAATGAAATAGGTAAACTATGTGCTTGCTAATTTTTCACTCCAATACACATGAATTTGAGACCAATAAACTCTGAAAGATGTCTTGTTCTGTCTTAGTGAGTGACTAGACTAGAACAAAGATAAAGGCAGTGCTTTTTCCTTTTTTTTATGCACTAGTAGCATAAATTAGCCTTCTGATTATCATGGCACAATTGTGTTGCCATGTCCAAGTTTTCAATCACAACCTACTCAGCATGAACAACCACTTCAGCAACAGCTTTTTATTCCACAAATAAACAACTTAGTCAAGAAATATTACATTGTAACATAATGTATTGGAACTATGGGAGACAATGTTTCCACTAACACCTACAAAGGGAGTTTGAAAGGTTTGCCTTCAAACATTTTGGAGTGCATTCACATTTTGTAATGTACCTCCAGTTAAACTTACATTTCTGGTTGCTTCTGAGAAAACATCCCACACTTGATCTTGCAAATTGCTGTCCTTAATTCTCAAACTGTTCTTGATCCAATTCTGTGTATAGAAAAAACGATAACTGAAAACATGCACCTCTGACTTTATTTCTTCTTTACCATATAATTGGTTGTTTTTTTTTTCATTTAAGAATCCAATCACTGCTTTTGACTAAGATCTGGTTAGAGGTTAGTCCTATTCATCTCTCAAGCCTCCTTGCGAAATTGTTTCACATATATCTAGGTACTGTTAGGAGGCTACACCATATATCTCAATTGCCTCACCAACAGCCATCCCCAAGTGGTTAAACACACACAGAAGATAATCCTCAAGCTTTTTGATACTAATGGCTATGTTAAGGTCCCACCAAATCATCTGACTGTTCCCATGAGTTAAAACATTAATGATCTGATCTTATTTGTGTACTGGACATATGGTCACGATCCTAAATGGATACCTTAGTCTATTACAAGAAAGTATAATTTAAACAAATATCTCAATGCAAACATTTTGAAAAGTTGTTTGGGTTATTGCAGGTGTTTCTGGTGAAAAGGAAAATATAGCAGTAAATAATGCAGTAAACTATCTGCAAGAGATCAACTTTCAGAAATGTGGAATTCAATGTTAAATGTAATGGAAAGATTTTTGCATTGCAGTGAAAAACCCAGGAAAGGTGCATTAGTAAACTGGAACAATTAATTGCAAAAACTTCTGATCTTCCACTGCAATGTATCTTATCAAAAAAAGAGGCTTCTGGAAAATACCATTTTTCCTGCTCAGAACATTAATCCTGCAGGGAAATAGTCTAACCTTCAGCTTGCTAGCAGCAATTTCACCACAGCTCTATTAAGTTCTATTTGAGTGCTTTGGAAGCAAGCCTGATCTTCTCTCAGCCTCACAATCTGACAGGGGGCTGGCAGGGGGAAAGGCCCATTTGTGAGTAATTCTTCACTTTTAATGAAATTCTTTACACACAGTAAATTTTCAACATCTGTAATTTACTTTAGCGAAGAATGCAGAGTGGGAGGGTCTGTCAGAATACTGAGTAACAGGAAAACTCTCAAAACAGGACCTTGCCTTCAGGAAAAAACAAAGCCAAAGAAATAAGAAATCTTTAAAAGTATGTCTAAGAATTTGGATATTCAATAGTAATAGCAAATAGTCAAAAAAAAAAGAGTATTGAAAACAGAACAAACCTATATATGGAGATTAAGCTTAAAAGGTAAGTCTGGCATAATACTTAATTCAAATGGTAGACCAAGAGACCTTTTAAGGAAATAAATGTATTTTACAACCACTGCCTATTTGAAATTCAGTTATTGCACAATCTATATGAATGCCCAGATATGCAATTTGTCTCACCTTTGTTAAAAGAGAGTGGAATTCCCTTAAAAAGTCTGGTTTTATGCTCACTGCACAGATTACTACAAATCTCTATTAAAACATACCTGAAACTTTACTTTTTTTCTTGGAATGTTATCAAAGGCACGCATTTGCTCCAGGATGCTCCGCACTTTAGGGCTTATGTTTGGCTTCTTCATTACTTCATGAATTTTCTGAATGAAGAAAAACAGAATTAAATCAGCAAAGCAGCATAAGGATCAAACAGTACATGTCAGGTGTGCAAGTCTGAAATACACTGGGCAGAAATCACCCAGCACCCACAGCTGGTATAGTCTGCTCATAGGAAATGTTCAAAAAACATGAGAAAAACGCTGACCTTTGGCTCTATCATAGCTCATTAAATGTGCCAAAGTTATCTATATAAACATTTATACCTGTGTAATAAGCAGAGGTAAGCAGGACTGCTCACCAGTGCTTTCTGATGAATAAGTTACAAACTGTAATAAAAAAAACCATTTCAAACTAAAGTAACTGTATCACAGAAGGGATTTTTGCAGCGCATAAAAGACCTGTATTAAGAAAAGCAACTTTGGTTTTGGAATTAATTATGAAAAATCAGGCTTACTTTTGATGCCACAGCTGACATGCATTTCTTCTGGCAGCAGTGCCAGCTTCAACAAGCATTTATCCTGTATGACAGCTCTGGATATTCCTGTGCTATGGGTGTCAGCATGAGAGAAGAGAGATTAGACCAGGCTCTCATGGCAGCCCCTTGAATAGCACTGCTGCTTGTGGGGGGAAAAAAGCTCTGGGCTTCCCAGGACTTAGAGAGTGCAGCCAGTGGACACTGCAGAGCTTTCCTGTACTTCTGAAGATCTGGTGACTGAAAGGCTTTGTGAATATGTTAAGACTATCAGAAAAAGGTGTCTGGTCATAATCTCTCATCCTTCTACATAAGAATCATTTACTATTGAGGCAGGCTACCAATGCTCACAAGCAACAACACTCATGTCATACTGCCTTTACAAATGTCCTCAAACGTTTGAGTGTTCAATCTCAACAAGAGCACTCATCTCTGACTTTAATGGTATTCATCATATGCTTCAAGTATGCATGCAGCTTAGAACCTTCTTAGAATGTGTTCTACATGATAGAAAGCAACAATTTCCATGCATAAATGTGATCTAACCTACTACTAATGGAGTTTTAAATGAGTTTGAGGTCCTTCCAAAAACCCTTGAATGAAAGCCATAAGAGGGTAGATTCTTGTGTAAGACAGAAAGAGTACGAGATATTTCTATCCATGCTGGAGCTTCTCCTGTTCAACATATTTACAAAACAGCTGACAAATTTACATATTAATTTACATACTTACAAAATATCTGACAAGAGGATGGAAAATGAAAATAACCCAATGATATTGAGCTATTCAGGATGAGGACTATGAGGATTCCAGAAAGATCTTAAGAAAATGAGTGACTAGGTAATAAAAAAGTGAAATACAGTCAACACAACTTCACGTAAAGCCAGAAGAAAAGGAAAAGCAATCTTAATTTCAGATCTAAAATGGCAGGCTTTAGTTGACCATTGGAGCTTAGATACAGTATCTCAGGGTCAAAATAGCCAATTCCATGAAAATGCCAGCACAATGACCAGCAGCGGTGTATAAAAACCGAATTAAAAAACCACGCAAAAGTAGATTAACTGACAAAAACAGTTAGAAAGGAATAAAGGACACAGAAAACATAATTGTGACACGTGGTAAATCTATGGTTCTCTTATATCTTGAACAGCATTTCACAAACATACAGTACAGTGGGAAGATTTTAGAAGACCAAAGATATAATTTACATATGCAGAACAACTGAGTAGGGCAGGATTTTTGAGCCTTGAACAAAGAATATGAGATGGGGAGGGATGCCTGACAGAGGTCTACAAAAGCATAAATGGCATGAAAAGGAGGGACAACTACCAATGTCTCTTTGTATACAGATGGGAACATTACACTAAGTCAAACTAGTAAGAGACATATTCAAAACAAGACACTTTTCTTAAGAGATAAACACACACCTGTCAAGGAAATGTCAGAAGACAGCCGGGGATATTGATAAAAACAGATCTCTGGCTTGAGCTAGTATAGGCTCTTTTCTGTCTTTGATAATTACAGACAATAGTTACTGTAGGTGCACACAATAAAAAACATACCTGAATCCACTCCTGCTGTTTAGCATCTCCTTTGTTCGTTTTGGCTTCAAAGCCTTTCCCACCATATTTCTGGTCTTCACTTACACACTTCACGTGTTCTTTATAGTCATCACCCCTGAATATAAGAGATTTTTAACCACATGTCATTGAAATGCTTCACTCTTCAAACTATGCAACACTTAGCCAACCAACAAGATTAAGTAATAGATAATTTAAATTAACAGATCATTTAAACCTTATTACTGTCAACTCTTAAATTATAAAAATGTGATGTGCTTAAAGTAAATGCTTGTAAGACCACAGGCATTTCTGTCATGCTTACAGCTTTCAGTGAAAGTTTCTGACTTGCATCAATTGTATTTGTGACAAGAGTGAGGAAGTAAGTCTGTAGAGTGAGCAAAGCTATTTCCCATTCTTTACATACCAGAAATCCTTGCCACAATCCATGCAAGACAGGCACTGACACTTTCTGCAGATGTTCACATGCTTTTCAACCTGTGCTTTCTTCACAGCTTCTCCACACGCATTGCATGTGAAAACTACCATGTTGGCAAGTGGTCAGGAGCCTCTTCCTTCCCACAGAAACGCACCTCTAGGAATACAAAAAGATCTTAATTTACAGCTTGAAAGAAACACTTGGAGGGCCGAAGCGAAACACAGCCGTGCACCCACTGACAGACAGGGTGCGCAGCCCGCTGCTGCACGTGTCAGAGCTCGTTCCACCCGAGTCCCTCCCTGAGCGCAGGGGAGATCAGCACCCCGGGAACCACAATCCCTGCACCCGCCACCCCAACAGGGAACCAGCGACCCCGAACCCATCACCCGA